ACAGATTAAGTCACTAATTGACTCAATCTCCTACTTGCACCACAGCCACTCAATAATACAATATATTATAATATATTGTATTTAGGGAAAATACTTACAGGGGGATCTATCTTCTTCCTCGGGTAACAATTCATATTCTAACCCGTATGTGCTTGTGTTCACCTCTGTTCTTAATACCTATACTGGTTCGGACACAAAATCGTCATCACCCACTGGTCCAACGGGTTGATCATGAGGCTGATTGTTGGATTTCTGTTCTTTGCTGCAAATGGTCATTAAGAGAAACTAACGTCAGAATCGCACACAAATTCCCAATTTATGGATGCAATCCAAGGACAGCCAACAGTTGAAAAAATCAACATTCTCACATCTATAATCCATGGACAGCCAATAGTTGAAAAATCCACATTCTGTTCGGCTAACAATGCAAATAATCTAGCTCAGTTGAAAACAATCAAACTCGGTAAATGCACACTAATTGTGTGGAAAACTGCCACAAATAACCTATGCTCCTAAAATGCACATTTTCAATCTGGAAAAATGCATAACTGTAAATTGCACAATGCCTAAGAGAAATAAAGCACACTGTATAACTGTTAGAGTGCACACTGTCGAAAATCTGAAAAGCAAACATAGCAATACAAACCATGCACACAAGTTTGAAATTAACATTTTACAGATTCAAAATGCTCAATGTTTAAGAGAAAAAATATCACACTTTAAAACTGGTAAAATGCACAACCCTAGTCCACACACGCCGGAGCCCTTAGTACCAACTCCAGTTCCACATAGCTTTCTAATTAACCTAATTGAACAATCACACTGCCAATTTCATTCTCGGACACTAACATCAAACCACTGCCCATCCAAGCAAACCCTACCCTCATGGTCGTTGTCAAAATCCAACGCATTACTTCGACACCATACTCTTACCAACCCCCCAAACCACATACCACCAATTGCACCGAGTTTCTATGGAAAAAAAAAGGGTAAGAAACATATACCTATTTTCTTAACCGCCTCAAAGGATGATCTCCGTTAGTTACGTCGTGGGGTTGCGCCAACCATTGATTCGGATGGGGACCAGACGGCGACAATCGGCGATCTTCTATGGGGGAGAATCTCTTGGTCTCGAAAAATATGCTAAGTTGCTAACGTAGTACATCAAAGGGAAGATCCGAAGTTAATGGCGAGTTGGCGACGTGTGTCTCTTTATTTCCTTCCAGGATGTTTGCACTACCGGTTGGTTTTTACTGCTTTACCCCCTAGCGAGAATTACTTCTACATTTCATCCGCTTCTTCCGCGATTTTTAATCTACCAAATGTGCAATCACAGCCGTATAACTCCCAAATCCAAAGGTTGTCATTTGTCCACAGTCCTCATGTGAGGTACTATCCTCACTTGATCCTTACCCTATATATATATATATATATATATATATATATATATATATATATATATATATAAAGGTTCCCTTGCGGTTGAATGCTTCTCGTGCAGATGTGTGGTGGATTAATATGCGTGAGATTTGTACTCAATGTGCGTGAGTGTTGTGCTTAATGTGCCTGAGATTTGTACTTAATGTGTAAAATGCAGCAGAAAATATTGATGTCAGCTTCTTCCCCATCCCCAGTAGCCATTTGCCCCTTCCCTGATGATGATGATGCGGAGGCGAGCTATGGAGGTTAAGAATTATGGGAATAATACAATAGAAATCCACACTTTGTTGCTGTGCAAATTTTACTGTGCGTGCGTTATTTATATAAACATTTGGTAGGGAATACCCCGACCGACATAGCGTTACCCCGACCGGTGTGCCTTCGTCCTTTTCTTCTTGTCTTTGCATGTAACAGGTCGGGTTTCTTGTGAAGAACCCGGTCGGGGTCCGACCGGGTGTTACCCGAGCGACAGTGTCGACCACCGAGCGGTAGCCCTTTAGCGAGAGAGCTGACGAGGAACACGTGGCGGCTCCACGCATTGACAGGCAGGGCACCCGGGACGTTGACACGTGGTTGCTACGTGGGAAGCATGCTGAACGGCCGGATTTGTGTCTCCGGCTCCACGGCTATAAATACCCGCGATAGCGACAGTGTGAAGGACTTTTGGACGATCGATAGGTTGTTGTTAGAGAATTCCGACCGCAGTCAGTCGGTACTCAGAGCAGCCATTTAGATTGTACTTAGGGACTTCACAGTGATCAATAAGAGTTATTTACTTGCTTTAATTGGTCTCGTATTTACTTAATTACCGCACTACGTGGCAATTAACACTATCAACATTCAACTGCATCGAAGGTAGCTGATAACCCAGAATCCATGGCCAAATTGAAGGGAGAAATAACAAGAAGCTTGGGCGTTAATGTGCGTGAGTTTCTGTTCTGCTTCCTTCTGAGCTCGTAATTCTGAAATACGCACGCACATTAAACACAAATCTCACGCACATTAAACACAATACTCAGGCACATTAAGTACAAATCTCAGGCACATTGAGTACAAATCTCAAGCACATTAAGTATAAACCTCACGCACATTAATCCACCGCACATCCGCACGGGAAGCAACAAATGCATCTATCCCTTCCATATATATATATATATATATATATATATATATATATATATATATATATATATATATATATATATATATATATATATATATATATATTTCAATGAATCTTAGAGTATCCACACTTGTGCATATTGTGGGGAGATTTCAGCATTAATTCTTCCCTACATGAGATAATAGCTAGTGTGGAGGGGAGATAATTGAAAAATAATTGTCCTGCAAATGTGAGGATATTGTCAGAAAAAAAAAAAAAAAAAAAAAAAAAAAAAAAAAAGAAGAAGGAAGGCTGTGCGCGTTAGCGCACAGCCTTGGGCAAAAGCCGGGCGCGTGCAGCGCACGCGTCTGATTATTATTATTATTATTTTAATTTTTTTTTTTTATTTTTTCTTTTTTTTTTTCTCTCCCCTCCCACACTCTCTTTCCTAATCACTCTTACATTATTCCCCATTCTCCCCAACCAATGTGGATGCTCTTAAATTAGAAATCTTTGGGCCACAAAAAGTCTTTAAACAATCCGCATAGAATTAGAATTAGAATTCGAATTTTACTGTGTATAGCCGACTTTATACCGTATTCCGTAATATTTAAGCATTGAATCGAATAGGATTGGACTATTGGAGTATTGGTTATCTCTATATATACCGTGTCTTTGCCCCGTTCCAATCAATTCGGAGACGACGCCGGAGCTACGATTTCGAGGGGAGGGAACACGCGAAGTGCGAAGATGATCGAGGTGGTGCTGAACGACCGTCTAGGGAAGAAGGTGAGGGTGAAGTGCAACGATGACGACACCATCGGAGACCTGAAGAAGCTGGTGGCGGCGCAGACCGGAACCCGGGCCGATAAGATCCGAATTCAGAAGTGGTACACCATCTACAAGGACCATATCACCCTCAAGGACTACGAAATCCATGACGGCATGGGCCTTGAGCTCTACTACAATTAAGTCTCTTTACTATCGTCTGTTACCGTGTAATTGAACCCTTGTCTATCGTAGTTTATGATGAAGACGATGTCTTTAATGTTTGCGGTTGGTTTGATCCCTCGGATCTCTAGTTATATTTCCTACTCGTTGAATTTCATGAAATAATGTGGAATTCTGTTGTTTGGTGATCTCTAATGTTGGTTGTTTGGAATTTTGACAGTTCTGGATTCGTAGAATTGTAAATTTTTAAAGGTCTTTGGTGATGTGAAGTTGTGAATTGGTCTAACTAGAGTTGATTTTTGGTTTTCTTAAGGGACAATATGTGCTTGAATCAATGAATTGTTGTGCATGAAAAATCTGCTAGGGTTAATGAATGAAGCACACCATTTGTCTTGACAGGGAGATCACTAGATTAGAATAAGATGTTTTTGGGAGTTCCGAAATTTCATTGTTGATATGCTTGCTAATATTATTCGTTTAATTGGAAGTTTTTGTTGTTCATTCTGGTTGTGAATAATTTTTGATATTTCTTGAACAGTTAAAGAACTGATTATGGTAAATGTGGCAATATCACAGCTTTAATTGCTTTAGTTTGTCTACTGATTAAATTTTTGTGCTGGGCAATAAAGGGTTGGGAGTTAGTTTGTGATTGTGCTATTTGAACTTTGAACTATCAACCTGTTAAAATATGAGGATGATCCATGTGCTGTCAGAAGTAGAAATAGTGAATAATATTTGATGATTTTGATCATATTATTTCTGCATTGAGTCCATGAATATGTTGGCCTGTCCTGTAGTTTGAATATCACCATATCCATGTTTTTTTTTTTTGGAGAAATAGAAACTCAAGAAAGTAAAGCTTGTACAATTCTTCAATTTTGGAAAGAGAATGGAGAATGGGAGAATTACAGTAAATGTAGCCGTAATGTCTACATTGATGCCATTGCGCTCTACTGTCTTCCTGAGAAATTGTTTCAGTTTGTAGTGTAGGAAATTGTTAAATAAAGTTTTAGTTTGATGCATTTCTGCTGCCATTTGGGCTGTGTGTAGTTCTTGATTGTCCATTTCTTAAGGGGATGTCTGGATTGGTTTAGATGCATTGTCTGTCTTGCATATTCAGTCTTCAATTGCAATAAATATTGGCATATGTTTGAGCTCTTAGTCATCCAATTTTCAATTCCATGTTAACTCAATCCCAACTTCCAACTCTTTCTATTTTATTTTGATCGAATGGAAGGGTTCAACCTAGGCACTGTTCTAATCGTGCCTCCCAGCGATTCAACTCAACGAGGGTGTGGAATGCCCATGTAGTCCTCCTTCATGGCCCGTCTGTCTACTTTAACTTTAACTGGTGGTCCGTTAAGCTCCCTCTCAAATCTCTTTTTAACCAACTCGAATCCATTTTACTTGAACAAACACCTGCTGCATTGTTGAAAGTAATGACTCAAATCTCTTTTAAAGCGCCTCACTCGAACAAACACTTGAATAAGACCTGGATTGTTGGGAGTATAAAAAAATTGTGATCAAGGGAATTCATTAATCATTACTCAAACTAACAATCTAAGTCCTAAGCTTTTCTAATACACCAGAGCACCAGCATCTCTTCTAAACATAAGCTATTTCCTTCCATTCCATCCGACCATATTGCTAACCACCTAGTACTCTTCATTCCAGTTTGTAAAACCACTCACACCTCTACTAACCTGCCCTCCTTCCTTAATCCTTAGAAACAGGAAAAATGGAATGTTTAAAAATGAATAAAACATTAAATCCCCTAACTCAAACTGTTTCTCATCACTCACTATATGCAATCAAACAGGTAGTTACTCATAGGAACGAATTCCGGTAGAGGCGACATTGGAGGGGTGAATGATTCTTGGAATGCCTTTTTACTCATCTCTGCAACCTTCTTGCAAGACTCCTCCACTATGGCTTCTCCCTGCACAGCTTTCCTTCTCATTTCTACGACCTTCCGGTGAGAGTTTGAGTGCAGAGAAGGGGTAAACGTCGGACTAGCTGCTGGCCTGTACTCGGGAAAAAGGCGCCCAGACCGATACCGAACCCCACACGCGTTGCATAGTGTCTTTGGGCCCATTGGTCCCTCCCTCCACTGCGGTGTCTTTGTAACTTCACAGTGCGTGCATTTTTTAACAACTGCATCCAATGCGTCATTGGTGTTTCTTGCGTCCTTCACGGCCACAATTGACTTCTGCACCAACTTCCTCTCTCTTCTCCTTTTGGCAGCTGAAGTTTTTCTAGACTCAAAGGCAGTAGAAGAAGATATAAGAGATGCCAACAGCCATGGATTGGTGGAGGGTCGGGTGCGCTTGGTTCGAGTTCGTACTGGAACAGCAACGCCGGTTTTGACTGGGATGGCCTTTCCACCTGAGCAAGAGGCACTGCTCTCAAGGACAGAAACCGGGCTTTGTGTCTGGAACATAACAGCCTCCTGCGCGTCAGAATATTTATTCTGTGTGCGTTGAGAAACGCAATCCACCTTTAGATTGAAAATAAGAGAGCCAGTAATATAATAAAAGTAATAATAATTTAATAATAAGAAAATTAAAACCAAACAAGAAAGAGATGAAACAATCAAAGAAGTTTGAATGTTCAACTTTTCATACTTGAAAGCCCATATGCTCTTTATAAAATTCTAATCTTTTTTAAAATTCTTGAGAACCTTCATTGCGTGCACACCTTCAGTTAGGAGGTGTTTTCGATCTTCGATCTAGACAGTGTATTAGTATTCGATTAAGACTTTTTAAAAGTTTACGAGTATTATTAAGGAGTCTAAAAGTCTATTGGTATTCAAAAAGTCAACTACAACTCTTAGAGTTTTCTTCTCTAGTATAAATAGTTGAAATCCATGCCAATTTTACTATAGGTTACATAATACTTTTTGTAAACTATTTATTCTCTAATATAAATACTTGAAACACATGCCAATTTTACTATAGGTTTCATAATATTTGTATATTTTGATTTTATTCTTTTTATGTTAATATTTGTAATATTTTTTTTAACAACGGGGTTCACAGCCCTGCTGTTTGCCAATTTGGTGCTGATGTTCGTAGCATACAATTTATGCTGCAAATAGCAGCAAGAAGCTGCTGTTTCACAGCACCAAATTGGGTCTATGAACAACCATTTTATTCTCATTGTTTGCAGTAGTATATTTGGTTTATTATTATTTTTTTATATTATTCCTAATTTTATATTTTTAAATTTTTTAAAAAGTACATAGAGACTATAAAACTATGAAAGTTTTTTTTATTAAGATCTATCATTTTAAAATTTATTAAAAGCCTACCAGAGTAATAATTAAATATAGTCATTTAGACTAATGTAACTATCTAAGAACAAAGGATGCAAAGAAACGTTATGATTTTCATCATAAAACATACAAATCAATTTGGAAAAGGAACAAATTTACTGAACAAAAAAGAGATGACACTTTAACAATAACAACATTTTATCACCAAGAATTACCAATGTTGCAAAGGCGCTAGTCGGGCGCCCGGGGGCACCTAGGCGGTCGAGTAATTCAAGTATATCGTCTTCACATTTCCCACTTAGGGCTATGAGAACAACGAAGCAGGCAAAAAATACAACTCGGCGAGTTGAGCGCGGACCCAACCAACTAGGCGGAATTAGGCGCCCAACTCGGCGCCTAGGGAGCCTAGTCGGCCAGCCAACTAAAAGCCGCCTCGTAGCGCCGTTAGTCGGCCAGCCAACTAAAGCCGGCTTAAATCCCTGCCTCCGCCTAGGGTGACGTTATGGCTGGAGGAATATTGAAGAGGAACAACCGAGCAGGCAAAAAATACAAACCCAGCCAACTAGGCGGAATTAGGCACCCAACTCGGCGCCTAGGGAGCCCAGCCAACTAAAAGATGCCTCCTAGCGCCGTTAGTCGGCTAGCCAACTAAAAGCCGCCTAGGGCTTAAAGAGGAACTGAGCAGGCAAAAAATACAACTCGACGAGGGCTTAAAGAGGAACCGAGCAGGCAAAAAATACAACTCGGCGAGTTGAGCGCCGACCCAGCCAACTACGCGAAATTAGGCGCCCTAGGGCCTAGGTCGCCTAGTCGGTTAGCCAACTAAAAGCCGCCTAGGGCTTAAATCGCCTGCCAGCTGAAGGAATATAGAAAAGGAACAACCGAGCAGGCAAAAATACAACTCAGCGAGTTGAGCGCCGGGAATATAGAAGAGGAACAACCGAGCAGGCAAAAAATACAACTCAGCGAGTTAAGAGCCGACCCAGCCAACTAGGCAGAATTAGGCGCCCTAGGGCCTAGGGCGCTTAGTCGGCTAGCCAACTAAAAGCTAGCCTCCCAGCGCCGTTAGTCGGCCAGCCAACTAAAAGCTAGCCTCCCAGCGCCGTTAGTCGGCCAGCCAACTAAAAGCTAGCCTCCCAGCGCCGTTAGTCGGCCAGCCAACTAAAAGCTAGCCTCCCAGCGCCGTTAGTCGGCCAGCCAACTAAAAGCTAGCCTCCCAGCGCCGTTAGTCGGCCAGCCAACTAAAAGCTAGCCTCCCAGCGCCGTTAGTCGGCCAGCCAACTAAAAGCTAGCCTCCCAGCGCCGTTAGTCGGCCAGCCAACTAAAAGCTAGCCTCCAGCGCCGTTAGTCGGCCAGCCAACTAAAAGCCGCCTAAGGCTTAAATCGCCTCGGCCTAAGGGCGCCTAGCGTCCGCAGGCGTCCGGCGTCAGTTAGTCCGCTTAAATACAACACCGAGAATTACTAATGTAATCTCCTAAACCGTAAATACAACACCGAGAATTACTAATGTAATCTCCTAAACCGTAAGGATAAACAATAGAGAGGTAAAATGCATTAAACTTACAGAAGGCTTCAACTTGAGTGCTGCATTGGAGAAGTTGTTTTGCATAATATTAGCTTGTGGAACTGGGAGAAAACCCGTTAGGGCGTCAGAAGGGATTGGCCCCAACTTACTAGCATCAAAATCAAAATCATCAATAAGGGCGTCCCCGTCCCCGTCCCCTTCCAAGCATTCCGGGGGGAAATCAAGAACATTAAGCATGTCCATAACATTGTCATAGTCATAGTCATCCCCTCCACCCGCAATCCCATCCCAATAAGCAGCTTGTTCAACCATACCCATCTTCTGGAACACAACACAAAAGATATAAAAACCTAAGTCTACAACGCAAAACTATGGAACAGAAATCCCTATGTTCATGGCAATTTAACATTTAGTACACAAACATTCTTAACCATATATAGATGATACTTGTTGATATCTAAATGGAAATTCATGATAAAGATCAATGAAAAGATTATTAACAATATTATGATACTCACTTTATATTATGCTCAAACACCTCTCTTGTTAAGGTACAGAGATTATAGGATAACATCATATTTTTTTTTTTCAGAATTGATGGTAATTTGTTTGATATATAAGGTATAAAAGTCCTACCAAAAATAGGACTCTACCAAGATTCCATGATTAAAGGAATATTCATCCTTAATCCTTAATCCTTAATATGAGATTCCGTACGTTGCTAATTACCTTATATCACATAATAACAATAACAATAATTTATTAGTTATAATTATAATAATACTAATAAACAAACAAATAGGGAAAATATCAGCCATTAAATTGGAAAAGAAAAGAAAATCTTGGGATGGCAATTTCTACCCAAAATCTCACAAGAATAATCATAGAAGCAGCAATAAAGCACGTGACTTTTTTTTGGGGGGGGGGGGGGGGGGGGGGGGGGGGAGGATTCTTCTTCCCCTAATACAATGCGACGCCGTTTCAACTGCAACCCATTTTCCAGAACAGTACCATCACTCAGAACACAAATAGGAGTTCAAAGTTTAAGCCTATGATTCAAGTACACAGAAGAACATGTCTGAAGGCCCTGTTTGGGTGCCCACAAAATGAAAATAAAAAATTTGTAGAAACAAACACAAACCCTTTCTGGGCATTGCACTTCAGAGAACAAGAATGGAGAAAATGCTGAAAATATACCTCACTTTTCACAGAATAGAACCAGAGGGCAAACAAAAACTCCCCCCGCCCCCCCCCCCCCCCCCCAAAAAAAAGAATAATACTCAAGAAAAATGGGTTTAGTTTAAAGATAGGAAATTTGAATAAAGCAAAGAAATGGGTATGGGAAAACAAACAATCTTTTTTAGCAAGAGGAGATGGAAATGAACTCACCATGAAGCTTAAACCCTATTAAATCGTAGAGAAAACCATTGGCACTTTCCCAGGAGTGAAGAAAGGAAAAAGGAGATGGATGGATAGATAGATAGATAGGGTAAGAAAGGGAGATATTGGGAAAGAAAAAGAAGTCTTTTTTACACTACTTTTTTCGCAAATCTAACGTGTCTGGATTGTACGTTTTGGAATTTACTAAAAAGCTTTCAATTCAGCAAATAAATAATTATAAATAAATAAAGAGTTCAAAAATTGCATTTAAAAAAATAATAAATTTGGGTGAGAACCAGAGAGAAATTAAGATGGTGTGGTGTGTAGCCATGTGATGGTTTTTGCTTTTGCTGGTGGCATATACCAAACCCAAAAAAATCTTTCATTTAAATGATTAATCTTTTTTTTTTTTTGACAAAATTTAAATTATTAATCTTAAACCCCAAAGCCACCTTGTGGTCTAGTGGCACAAAGTGACTCTCCCGAATGGGAAGTCATGGTTTGATCCCCGGTCAGGGAGGTATTAATTCTTTGTGTTTCAATAAATTAAGAATAGCATATACTATATTATAACATAGTCAGCAATACTAAAAAAAAAAGCCCCAGAGTCTCACTATGCACACAAAGGGCCCCCACCCCTATTTATACACTATGCACACAAAGGGCCCCCACCCCTATTTATACACTATGCACACAAAGGGTCCTCATTTTCCCTCAGATACTACATTGTAACAAAATCAGTAGTACTCAAAAAATCTTAAGCCTCAAAGTCTCTATTTGTTCACTTTCTCTCGGATGTTCAATTCGAACCCTCATCCACCCTTCATCTCTTATGAGAGGTCAATGTCTCCCAATGACCCCCAAATTTTCAATGAGATTTGAATCACCATGCTGTCTCTAGAACGAGACTTTAAAGTGATCGGTCGAACCAACTGAGCTAGCTTATATTACACTCTTGACTTTTATTTGCTTGTTACAATTAGTCTTTCATTTAAATATTGCCATCCATTATTTAATAAAGATGGTTAATATATAATTCTATCATTCAAACGTCTTGCACCAACATGTAATATCTTATAAACTCTTTTAATTGAATGATTCAATTATATACTAGTCAATATGCTAAGCTAATTGAATAATTAATTTCATTTAATAGTATATTGGGTCTGATTGTACTTAATACGGTAAAAACACATGTATTATTGTCCGCTACAACATATGCAAATGACGCTTTATGTACTAGTGTCTAATTGAGCATAATAATGTAAGAATGTATGTACTCGTGCAAATCTGCAAGATATTACATTTAAAGTTTTTCATATCTCAACATGGTGTATTTAAGGTACCTAATATTCTTTTTTCAAGTATAAGGATATGATGTTTTAATTCTTTACTTTTGAATGGTTTGTAACGTCGATGGAAAGAATGTTTCTTTAATGAATGTGGAAGGAGGGTGTGAGACACGTTTGGTAGCGTGGCATTGGTGCAATGGTGAAATGGGGGAATAGTATGTTGGGATGAATGATTGGGAAATGGGGCCAATAATACATATAATTTGTGCAAATGCTACTTGTGACCAAAGACATGTTCATTCATGCATCCTTCTCTTACCCAATACATTTTAATTTTTTTTTTCCTGACATTAATAATTTGGTGCTATCATGAATGTATTGCTTATGATTTTTACTTCTCTTTTGCTTTTCTTTTATAAATATTATTTTTTTAAAATACTCCATAGGAAATAGCGTGAGATCAACTGTGGATAAATTTGAATAGTTCAAATTGTAAATCTAATGGTTGAAAAATGAAGAAAAAATTTGGATGTCAATCTTAGCCCGAACCAGATAGGCTGGTCCATAAAATCGCGCAAATTATGATGTGGACTCGTGTCCATAATGCATTGTGGACACGTGTCCAAAACGACGTCGTTTTTAGGGAAAACGCGGCATTTCAGTTTTTTTTTTTTTTTTTTTTTTTTTTGATTTTGTCTTGCCGTTAATGGCGTTATTCGTTTGTGGAGTTATGAATGTACAGTTATGGAATTATGAATGTACAGTTATGGAATTATGAATGTAAGTTATGGAATTATGAACACAGAGTTCTGACATTATGAACTTACAATTATGAACATATAGTGATAAAATTATGAACATAGAGTTTCAAAAATTATGAATTTACAGTTATTGAATTATGAATGTACAGTTATTGAATTATGAATGTACAGTTACAGAATTATGAATGTACAGTTATGGAAGTATGAATGTACGGTTATGCAATTATGAATGTACAGTTATGGAATTATGAACACAGAGCTCTGACATCATGAACTTACAATTATGAACATATAGTAATAAAATTATGAACATATGCTCCTATAATGAAGCGGTCTGAAATTAAAAAAAAAATGGTGGAAGATAACGGTGCCACTAACGGCACCATTACCGTGTCCACAATGCATGCTGGACACGGGTCCATAGCATAACGATTGATAAAATTGAAACCGACATGTTGATAGCCCAAATGGACTAGCCGATAACCTAAACTATTAAAAGTTATTCTTTATTAAAGAAGTGATGTGAAACATAATATAATAATAATAATAATAATAATAATAATAATAATAATAATAATATTATTATTATTATTATTATTATTATTATTATTATTATTATTATTATTATTATTATTATTATTATTATTATTATTATTATTATTATTATTATGTTTTGAAAGTGAGTTAGAATGGTAGAAATGCAAATTGCAATTGTCATGAAATTAAATGAAAAACATATGTGGTCTAATGGTATCCGGGTTGGACTTCCATTTGGAAGGTTACGAGTTTGAGCCTCAGTGGAGGCGTTATTAGTTTCAATAGGTTGAGAAAGTATATGAACAGATACTACAATGTAATAGGACCAGTAACACTCAAAATGAAAAACATATGTATGAGTGTATGATTTATTTTTAAAAGTGAAATACGGAGTAGTATTTTATGAATGCAATAACCTAATAAAAATATGATTTTTGAATAGTACATGCTTGGAGTTGGACAAAATAATAGTAATAACAATATAATAAAAACATATTATTAACATTTATTAAGGGTCAAACAAATCTGAGCATGTGGGTTAGGGAGGATTAGCTAAGGTGTAGGTAATATTAAATTATTCATTATATTTTTCGTGATCTGATGAGAAATTTCCTACTTTCAATTTTTTTATTTTCTTGTTTTGAAAAATTATTTGGATCTCCTAATTAACAATTCCAAAGTCACATGTAAATGGAAAATGATTCCATAGCTTCGCTTGCATTATACATCAACATGCTTCTACTTGTACTTTATTATTCACATTATATTCTAGACATGTATGTAACTATGTATGCATAGTGGTCAATAATATCAATGGTGATATATATATATATATATATATATATATATATATATATATATATATATATATATTCTAAAACTTATGTTAACATTTGAACACGGAGAACCAATCTGAGTCCTTATCTATATTAGTGGACAGTGCATATCATCTCGTAGTGCACTGCAAACACAATATACACACATTGTGCACTGCGTCATGGGTTGAATTTTTTTTGTGCACCATGTTCTGAGTCGATGAATGATGCAACATCAAGGGTGTGCACAAGTTCTCATATTCACACAATAAGATAGGTTCACACACACATATATATGCATGTATGCAATAATGAATGTATTCTTGATTCATGGAAATTTCTAACATGCTCATGTACAAAGAAGAATAAAAAGTTATTGATTAATGGAATTTTATATGCATGTATATTATTGTTATGTATAGCTACCACAACCTTTCATTTAAGGGAAAATATAAGTCACTAGTCAAAAGTGCACTTTGGGTAAAATTCATTTTGTAACCCTAATTAATGAAAGACTACGATGAGATATACTAGCATTAGTTGCCTATAGCCTATTGGCTCAAATTGAGAAGGCGGTCATCCAATAAGTAGCTTCTAATATAGGTCAATAGTTAGCACAATCTTGTAGGTTAAAATGAGAAATTTAATATCGTGTATAGATATTATTTTTAGTACATTAATGTTTGGGAAAGAAGTTGTTTTAGTCTCATAGGGGCCCTAATTATATGTCAATAGTTGTTTCGACCTCTCGTTGTTAAAAGTTGCAAATTGTATGATCAAATTTATATTGTTACAATTTTGAACACCCAATTAAGTGGACAAAATCTTTATACACACTATAAAAGGTTATTTACTTTATTTATTTAATTTTTATTCTCTATTCTTTATTTTTAAATTGGAGAAATATATAAGTAATGCATGTTTTTTTTTCTTTTAAATCTAAAGGAAATATCTTGCAAAAATGGTAACAATGCGCATGACGGCATGATGGTTCTACTTGTCAAAAAAAGAAAAAATGACAAACTATTCTGTAATATACAGTCAAGTTTATAATTTGTAATATTTCTCTTTTAAAAGCTAAAACGAACTACTAGTAACATATAATTGAGATATTAAAATTCATTTTTTCCACATAATTATTAGTTTTTTTTTAAAGAAAAAGAAGAAGAAGAAGAAGAGGAAGAAAAACTAAAATCTTGTTTAATTTGTTTAAATGAAAATTAACTTGGAATTAATTATTGTTGGTGAAATATAAATAGAGATATATAAAAGTGAAGTGTAAATTAAACACATTTTCAAAGATACTGCAGTGCAGCATTGGTTTGTATTATTAGAGCACTTTATGAACATCTTTTATTTGACTAATAATAAGATGTCTGCAATGATTGGTCAATACCGTCCAAGGATCTGCTCCTTCATACATGTGCTGCT